TTTTTTTTTTTTTTTTTTTTTTTTTTCTTATTTCGAGCTGAAATTATGATTTTTGGTGATGTTGTTGAGTAGATTTTAACTTGGAATTTTGAATTTTGCGCCAAAATTTAGTAGTTTATTGATGCGAAATTGAGGTTTTATGAAGTTATGTGAAAAATGAATGCTGAATTTTGTAATTGGGAGTGTTTTGGTCTTTAGAGTGTGAAGTATGATTATTAAGATGCAAAATTGATGTTGTATGTGAAGTACAAATGATTAATTTTATAATTGTGAATGTTTTCAATGCGAAGTTGGTTGATTAAGATGCAAAATGAGGTTTTATTTTCGAAGCAAAATTATTAAATTTTTAATTGCAAGTGTTCAAGAATCATGATGAAAGTATTGTAGAATGAGGATCCAATTTGAGCTTGAATATCAGTGTTATTTTGGAGCCTAAAAGTATTTTTCCTGCTTTCCTCGAGCCTTTTCATTGTCATTGCTTTTCATCCACATTTGAGTTCTTGGACATGAAGTTGGCCCTTCTTAGAGAGAATTGAAAATTGGGTGATTGTTTGAGCTTTTACTTATTGAACATGGTGTTAATTTACTGGAAAAGTTTTTGTAGCTCAATTAATGAAATTTGCTATCTAACATCGTGGCTGTTATCAATGTTGCTCACCCCAAAGATGGGTGAGCATCAACTCATAGTGGTTTAAGCAATTTTATAAGATTATAATTGGAGCTAGTTTGCTACTTTTTTTTTTTGAGGGACTATGCCATCTCTTTTGCATAATTACCCCAAAATTGACATTTTTAGTCCTTGATAAGCTGCTGAGTATTCTCTCATTGACTTGAGAAAACCTGAAAACCTATAAAAATTCAGATGCAAATATTGGGGGAAACTTTGTTATGTCTTAGTTGTTTTTGGCTTTCAAATAATTGTGGTATTACTTTAATTTTGATTAAGGTAAATTATTTGGCATTTAAGTACTTGTGAGTTGTGACGATTTCAGCACTTTGTTAGAACCTTGTTACTGCTTGCTTCTGGGTAGGGTGGTTGTCCTGAATACTGCTTTAATTTATGTATGTGTTAATCAGGAATATTTCAGCTCATTATTCCATTTTTTCCACATACCTTATTTGGGGGAAGCTTCATCTTGTAACTTGTCTTATGGAAAGTGCTGATGGGCGAATTTTGGCTAATTGTGCAGGTTGAAGCTAATGATGCAGTTACTGTGGCTCATATGAATAGGCCAAAACCATTGCCAAATGAAGCCTTGTCCGACCTTGCAATATCTGCTGCAAATAAGCTGCAGTGTTTTCGGGTATCGTCATTGTTAGTCTTTTTGTATCTTTCACCTTACTCTACGAATACCCCCTTAGTGTGTATGTTACTGCAACTTAATACTCTTTCCCTGCTTAAAATAGAAAGATGTATCATAATAGTTCTATCTTGAGTTCTAAACTTGCAGTTTACATGAACGTTTTCTCTTAGTTGCTTTTGGAATAAATTTTTAACCTTGCCTCCCTTGCAGCATCTCAGTAAGTACTTTAAGCAGTCTGCGAAATCCCTGGAACATCAGATTGCCAGGGAAGCAAGATTCTATGGAGCTCTCATTCGGTGAGTGTGCAGAAGTGGATACTCTCTCTTTCCTTATATACTTGTATATTGATAAGATGTAAATTGATGCCTTTTTCATGCCAATCTGTTGCATTGCAACTCTCATTCAGCATTTCAATACCTCACTTTCAGTTCATCTCTATGTGCCTTGTCCACTATCTAGCATAAATTCTTGTGGTATCTACTATCTAGTCACCTTTCTTCCATGTCCTTGTAGCCGAGCTTTGACACCGTTTGGTGTTTCCACTTTCCATTATCATTCTCCTTCTATATTTATAAGATTTGTCTATGTTTACTATGTCTTCTCTGCATATATTGTGTATTATACACACTATGTTTAATTTCCTTAAGGTTTGCATTAATTGTTAGTGCTTCTGACAATAATTATAGTAAAACAATAAATGTAATTTGATGCAACATCTAATATATAATAATTTGATGCTATGGGCCTATGGCTAACCCTTCTTTCCTTTGTGTATCTTCAAAGGCTTACTTGTTCATTGCTACTTTTCTGTTTGTCTTCATTGGACTATTCATCCTTTCACTCTGACAAGCTGACAGTTTGCAGCAGAATTGGAAAGTCAAATGGCATCGTTTGGCAGCAAATGCTCCTGGTAGTGATGGTTTCTTGATTGATCTCTCCAAGAACACAGCACATGAGCAAGCAGCTGTTGCCGGAGCTCCTAAGTTTTCTATGGTTCGTGTGGAGCATGATTCATCTGGCATGCTGGCTGTGAATTTGCCTAAAAGTTCATGTCGTTCTTTCCACTTTGGTTTTTTGGATGCTCATTCAGGTGATAGTCCAGAAGGACTTGGACTTGGGCGAATGAATTCTGGTTCAGTTGAAGAATCTTTAAGTGGAGCTAAGAAGGATTCTAGTGATGATGACCGTATACGAGAAACGCATACAGTCCTTTGCAATGCCCATAGGGCCATATTTTATGAACAGGTACATGTGAACAATTTACTACCCCTTATTGGAGCTTCTTAACTTTTCACCGTGTCATTCCTTTCTTGACATGCCTTGTTTCTGCTTATAGGTTTTTGAATTAGTTAGCCGTGAATCCTTCAACCCATCTTTGGGGGTAAACGTGACTGGAATACGAGAAAACTATTTGGAACTGAGCATTAAGCCAGGGGTATCTGTTTTCATATCGCTAACGCCATACAATCAGGAAGATCAAGGTAACGATAGCAGTGGCACTCAGAATGTGGATGATTCATCTAAAGTGTCAAGCCTGGTGGAAACCAAGCAAAACATTGAACTAATGTCTGGACACCCCAACCACATCACTTATGAAATATATCTGCAACAGCTTTTCCGTGATGAAATATATGGCAAGGTGAAGCACCAACCACCCTTGCCTGGTAAAGTTCAGTCTAATCACCAGCCTAATGATGCTGTGGGGCTTGTGAATCATTTCTGCCTTTCTTTGGCTCACCGAATCTTCTCAAGCAAAGTTCTAAAAAAGTTGGAAAACCTGGTATTGGCAAATTTGAACTCTATTGCATTAGTTTTGTCAACTGAAATAGGAATGTATATCTGAGTCGTTTTTCTCTTTTCTTGCTGAATTTTCGTTTTCATCTATTAGGCTACAAAGATTCCGTATCTCCAGCTTATTTCACAACCTACCTGGCATTCACGGACTTCTTCTTGGGCATTGTCTGTGAAAGTTCCCAAAGCCATACTTAATGCGCAGTCTCAGGCATGGAGTTCAGATGAAGATCAGATTAAAGATAACAAGTTACTATTTCAGACTAGGGTGGTGGTGAAAGATGATAATATTAGCATTGAAGGGGGAGGTGCCCCTATTGTTGTTGGTTTGTTTAAAAGTAATCCTGAGGCAATGGGATCCAAGAACAAATTCAATTGTGACTTGGTAGATCTCCCTATGGTGCTTCTGTTGCAGGTAATCTTATACTCCGTATATGTTTTAACTCTTGCTGGAGTGACTACTGAGTACTACTTGTTTTTATCTTTATTATTTATTTATTTATAGTGTTTTAATTTGAGATTGAACTTGGTTGAGGGTGTTTTGGGTTTGAATGACAGATAGCTAGTGAGATCATATGCTGGCTTCACGAGGAGGCATTGATGGTGGGTATAAAAACACACCAGGATTTTCTCTGCCTTTTCTTGGAGCTTGAACAAGGTGAGACTCTGAGCCTGGTCGCGCATGTTGATCCGAAGGATGCACTAGGATGCATCTCCTGGTGGCTGACGGTGGAGGATGGCTCTACTCAGGAGCGTAAACTTCAGGCAGATCTTCCTGATGGCGAGTCTCCTTCTAGACGGTTTTTGGGTCACTTGTCTTTGGATACATTGTACTCTACATTAATGGATCTCGTTAGTGTGTGCACCGTCAGTGTTAACCATTAAATCTGGTCTTGTTTTGTTTCATATATCAATGAAAATGTATACTGGTATCCCCGTGTCTTAAGTGTTTAGCTGCAAGTTATGGCCTACGGCCTATGAGAAATGTACATGAATTGAACTAATCAAATTTCACTTTACATTTGGATAGGATGCCAGAATAGGTTACATATTTAATGGTTACATAATGTATGATTTAACAATATAAACCGAACATTAATGGAGTATGGAAAGATATGTTAATGAAGCGTAGTCAATGTTTCATTGCTCTTTTATGATTACTCTTCCTCATTTTTCTTGCAATTTTCTATTACTTATTGGAAGAATACTTTCAGTTTACAGCTTTGTTGCACAATCATCAGGTCTTAAGGAAATTAAGTGTTCTTAGTTCCATTCTGCTGTTGGATAAAAGAATTGATTATGGTTCCCTTATAATTACTCTTGCTGTTTGTTGAGGCTTAAGCCTGAAAGAAAATGCCGATTATTTTATTTTTATTTTCTTAAAAGCACATTTGCTCGCGATAAGATGTGATCTATTTTCACATAAAAAAGGGAGCTGTGATCTATTCTAATTTGCGTAAGTAGCTGGAAGAGTTTTCACTAGAGCCATTTAGGGGCGGGGGCGGGGGTTGGGGAAGTGAAGTCTTTGCTCTTCTCTAACTAAGGTGAAGGTTTGCTTGAACCTTTTCCCATGAAGAACTGTCATGCAAGCAGAATTGCAACAGTAAAAGTACCTCCCCCCCCCCCCCCCTAACAACGACAACAACTACAAAGCCTTAGTCGCTCTGCTGTAAACCAGAGAATTTCTTCTTTCATTTCGTAGATTGCAGCAATTTCTTGTACAAACCAAAAATTGCATTGTCTAAAATGTACATATACAAATTTACTTGTTGGAGAGATTAAGGGGAGAGAGGAAAGGGAATCAGAAAGTGTTTGCAAATACAAAGGAATTGGAAGGAAAAATAATCAGTAAATTGACAATATTTAACTGCATGTTATAGTTTGGTTTGGGAGAGATCAAGCCTCTTGAACGTTTGAAGATTGTGCCAGAAATTTGTGATCATTCATATCATTACCTTCTAGGATTTCAGTTCATACAAATTTATGAAGCATAAGCTTCTTAGATTATGTTTCATTCTTACATAAATCTCTATAACTCATCTCCTCAAGCATTCCTTCTTCAGCTAAAAGCAGATAGCCCCTTACCCTGTGGCATTTTCTTTGTGTCAGAGTCTTCGACATCCTTCTTTTTATAGAAGTGAGGAGCTATCTCAATCAGCCACTCTGGTTTCAGCTCGGTTACTTGTCTCATATATTCTTTGGTTGTCAAAACCAGCTCATGGAATACAACCCACCTTGGCTGTGGATGTATCTGTGCTAAGCTTGAACTAGGATGAAGGTATGCAATCTGAGGATGCTTAATTGTCCTATAGGACCCGTCTTTCTGTAACTTTGCTGAGTGAGGGAAGAAACCAGCTGTGATAGCTTTTTTGATTGCTTCCAAATCATTCAGATTAGATGTGACTTCTATTTCAACCCTCTCTAAGATCCCTTTGAGTTGATCTCTTATATTCCTTGCTCGTTTCATACTCTTGAGCTGAACAAAATTCTCGTAACACCACATGCTTCCATAGTCATATGATTTCCATTCGTTGTAAACATTGAGAAGAGCAATATGGTCTCCAACATCCCCCTCACTGAATCTCAATCTTGCATTATCTGCAAGGACTTGTTTATCCTTGGGGCGGTAAAAGATCGAGTTGCCTATAGAAAGCATTGCTGCAATTCTAATAATCTCCTCTGAGCATCTATACTTCTCAGAAGCAACAATCATCTTTGATAACATGGGATCAAGGGGAAATTCCGCCATTCTTCTTCCAACTTTTGTCAATTCACCTTGCTTATTCAGAGCACCTAGTGCACAAAGCAACTCAAGAGCTTTCAATAATGATTCAGATGGTGGTGGATCCATGAAATCAAAGCTCAACAAGTCCTGAATTCCAAGACATTTGAGAGTAAGCACAACATTTGCAAGATTAGTTCGTTGAATTTCTGGGACAGTATTATCTTCCAATTCCTGGTAATTATAAGCTGTATATAATTTGTAACACTTACCTGGACCTGTTCGTCCAGACCGACCTGCACGTTGGTTTGCTGATGCCGTGGAGATTGGCTTAACCAACAATGACTCCACCCCTGTTCTTGGATTATATGATTTTATCTTGACAAATCCCGGGTCTATAACATATTTGATCCCCTGGATCGTTAGAGATGTCTCTGCAATGTTTGTGGCCAACACAACCTTGCGTGCTCCTTCGGGAGTAGGTTCAAATATCTTGTTCTGCAGATGTGTCGGTAGGTTGGCATAAATGGGGCATATGATGAGTTCAGCAATCTTCGTTCTGAGGCCCCTAGTCCTGTGCTTCAATATCTCCTCTACTGTTTCAATTTCTTCTTGTCCTGTGAGAAACATCAATATCACCAGGTGGTTCTGTGACATGTATTTGGAGCGCAGAGACAATCGCGGCATCTAAATAATTAGCCTCTGGTGCCTTGGTGAAGTGTATCTTGACCTCATAAGGCCTCCCCGGAATCTTGAATAGTGGGGCTGAATCAAAATAATCACTGAACTTCTCAGCATCAAGAGTTGCACTTGAGATGAGTAACTTCAAGTCAGGTCGAAAGCGAGCAACATCCTTGACCAAACCAAATAATATGTCTGTAGTAACAGTCCTCTCATGTGCTTCATCCAACATGATAACACTGTAACTACAAAGGTCTGGTTCACCAAGGAATTCACGGAGCAACATACCGTCTGTCATATACTTAATACTCGTCTTCTCAGATGTACAATCTTCAAAACGAATGGAATAGCCTAACTCATGCCCGAGTTTCACACCCATTTCTTTGGAAACACGAGCAGCGACACTCATTGCTGCAACTCTCCTAGGTTGAGTACATCCAACTTTTCCAACTTTTGTATATCCAGCTTCGTGCAGATACTGTGGTATTTGAGTCGTCTTCCCACAACCAGTCTCACCGACAATTATGAGCACCTGGTGATCTCGGACAGCATTCAGTAATTCATCTCTGTAGGCATAGACCTTCCTTAAGCTTCAAAGACTCAAATTTCTCCAAATCAGGCTCAATTTTTTCTCCTTTTACTACACCCGTGTTTATAAACTCAATTTGATCTTCGAAGACATATTCATATCTGTTTGCTTTCATGCTTTTGTTTTTAGAACCAAAGTTAAGGGTTGATTTTCCCATCTGGTGCTGCTCCCATTGTTCTTGTTCAGCGAACGGATTCATCTTCTTACTTTTTGATTCACCATCTCTGGAATTCTGTAAAGCGACAGCAAACCTTTTCTTCTGGTTGACTCCAAGATCATATGCATCCGGCATTTTATACTCACTGCCATCATCTTTCATACTATTTTGGACAATCAGGTCATAAAGATCCTGTTTGAACCTGAATTCACAGCGCTCTGATTCAGTCACCTCAACACTGTCAAACATGTTCTGCTCATCTTCTATCTCATCTGCAAGCTCTTCCGACTTCTTTTCCACCCTTTTCTTCAAGTACTCTTGTCTCAAAACAATTCTTAGTGCTCCAATATCATCTTCCTTTTCCTCCTCCTTTGCCAAATTTCGCAATGTTAGCTTCCTTGTTCGAGCCGCATCCCTTTCTTTGATATTTCTCTCTAATTCTTCCCTCTCTCTCTGATCACGTAATCTTTCCCTTTCTTGCTCTTCAGAGACGTATGCTTTCAAGCAGTGGCGTCTCCAGGATTTCCAAATAGGGGGTTCGAAATTTCGAAAGTTCAGAATCATAATTTACAATTGAATGAATTGCATATTTGCATACAATTATGTACGAATTGCATATTTGAATACAATTATACGAATTGCATATTTGCATACAATTATGTAAAGACCAAAAGTAACTCAACGAATTTCACCAGTTTCAATGATAGGCTAAGTGGCTAACAGCAACAATACGGCAAACCACTCGCCAATTAACAGCAACATGCAACAATACAGCAACAATAGGCTAACTGGAAACTGGAAAGAATGGATACGAGAAAGAAATAAACCAAAAAATATCAATAAGCAAACCACTCACCAATACGGCAATACTGCAATACAGAAGTTCACACAATCACTATAAAATTATTTTTTCAGATTTTTTTTTAGATAATAAAAATCAATACATCATAATTTATCAAGATTCAAGAAGAAGAATATCTTTGCATACGGCAATAGAGGCATACAGCAATACAGCAAACTAAGAAGAAGAATATCTTTGCAATTGCATACAATTTTTTTCAGATTTTTTTTTAGATAATAAAAATCAATACATCATAATTTATTATCAAGAATTCATTCATTCAAGATCAAAACAAATAGTATGTAAAATATATGAAATTAAGAAGTAAAAATTCAGTTATTCACCTACAGAGCCACGAAATATGGATGAGTGGATGACGGAGCAGTGGAGCACCGAGCACTGATTATCCCCTTCTAATCGACTTCTGCAATAAATCGATGATAACCCATGACAAGAAGTCAAGAACAATGTACAGATTACACTAATTACAGAACATGAGAACAATGTAGTACATTCTAAAACAACCTCCATTGAATCATTGATAAACACTCTAAAACAATAGACAATCAACACTTCAACCGACAATCAACATTCAACACTTCAACAGGCAACAATTCAAGTATTCAACAAACAACAATTCAAGTACAGGCTATACAAATTACACTAATTCAAGTCAACAGACAACAATTCAACAAATGAACTACTTCTACAATCTACAAACCCTAAATCAGTAAATGAAAATCAGATACTTCCTTCCCCAAGACCCCAATTTCAACCATTTTTTCAATAGACAGCAGTCACCCAAAAACCCAAAATTGATAGCTAAAGTTCATCACACATTCACACATTCAAACACCACGTATTCACGTAATTATCTACAAAAATCATGAAACCAAAAACTTTATATATTATTAACCCAGAAGGCCAGATAGAACTAGATAGAAGACGACATACAATTAAAGCCTTAAAGGAAACCGGCAAAGTGGGCTGACTAGTGACTACTGGCCTACTGCCGACCTGCCGTGCTGCGGTGCTGGCTGAGTGCCTGAGTGGCTGCTGCGGACTTCTGCGGTGCTGCGCCCGTGCGCCGGGAAGAGAAGGAGCCAAGGAGGAAGAACGGGAAGAGAAGGAGCCAAGGAGGAAGAACGGGAAGAGATTAAGAGAAGGAGGAAGAAGTTAGGGTTTTGCAATTTGGGGGAATGAGGAAGAGGAAAGCTGGAAGCAGGGGATTAGGGGAAGCAGGATGAAAGGAAACAAAATGAAAAAATAAAAGTGTGAGTTATGGGTTTCGAACCCTGAACCCACAAACTCTTGTATCATTGTATGATGAGAGGTAAAAATAACCACTGGGCTACAACTTTACTTGTTGCCATATAATACACAAATATTCTATTTAAACCTATTTTGATTTTTTTTTTTTTAAAAAAAAAAAGTTTTTAATTTTTTTCAAAAAATCAGTGGGTTCAATGAACCCACTTGAACCCACCGTGGCTCCGCCACTGCTTTCAAGTCTGCGTCGTTCTTCATTGTAGAAAGAGAACTGAGATTGTTAATTTTTTTTTTCTGGGTTTGATGATGCAAGTGACGTTCTTTTTTATATGCAAAATTAATCTAAACGGTTAGGAATATAGGAAAAATATTATAGTAAATTTTTTATATAGGTATTTGGATATTATATTTATGATAATTTGATATTGTTTAGAATAAGAAAAGTTTATATATGATAGAGTTTTATATTGTTTATTTTGGCTGTCAAAAAAAAAAAAAAAGTTTATTAGGTTATCTTTTGTAAGTTAAAAATATTGACCAAGAATATATATAAAGCTATGTGATGATATATTCTCCTAAAAAAGAAAACAAAACACGTGGGGCTTAAAAAAAACCAACTTGGGACTCAAGCATTTTTTTATAAACTTGGGGCTCAAGTATAAAAAAAAAAAAAAAACCTTGAAATTTTTTTGTTTTTCTTCTTTGAGGAGTAGGTTTAACAATCGTATATTATATATATATATATATATATATATATATATATATATATATATATATATATATATATATATATATATATATATATATATATATATATATATATATATATATATATATAACTTTTAGTATTTAAAGAGTATTTCGATGAATTATTTTTTCGGGCAGAAGAAGATTATCCACAAGGACGGGGTGACAATCAATCTCAAGATATTCTGAAATCGGGAGAAAAACTCTAACCACTTGAGCTATCTTTCACTCTCTAAAATATTAGTGATGTACATTGTTTGAGTGACAGCTTAAAAAATATTAGTGATGTACATTGTTTGAGTGACAGCTTAAACGTTACAAATCTTGCAATACATTAGTTATGAGAAAGATAAAGAGAAGAGAATGATAACTTATTATTAAAAACAAAAAAAAAAAACGATGTTCTCCATCTGTACTTCTAATAATGTTATGCAGGAGGGAGGAGGGTTTAAGTCTAATTTACCCTCATCATATTATTAAAATCTTTCTGATCTGGATGACTATAATGATCTAATAGTAGGGAACTGGTGTACACAACTCTTTATTCACTTAATTTATTTTTTTATTTTTTTTTTAAATCACACACTATTAGGATATATTTACATATATTTATGGTAGATAGAATCTTCAATCTTTATCTTTTCCTAATTTCCTAATCTATCTTTGGTTAGGACTCCTTGATTGTATTATAAAAGCCTTGATGATAATCAATGAAACACAACTCAATATTTTCCCAAAACCTCTAATTTAACATGGTATCAGAGCTCAATCAATAAAAAAAATTTTCCGAAAAAAAAAAACAAAAACCAAATCAAAACAAAACACACATCGACTCCTATGGCAGGCGGTGATGAAGAACAACCACCACCCCCTGCGAAAATAGACTCATCTTCTCCGTACTATCTCGGACCACAGGACCGCCCTGGAGATTTTATTACTCCAACTCGGTTAACATCGGACAACTACGATTCATGGGCTGCCGATATACAAACAGCGTTGGAGGCTCGTCGGAAATTTGACTTCTTGGACGGGACTATCAATACTCTTTCTCCACCATGTACCAAGTCCGATTGGACGGCAATCAATGCCATGCTCATCTCCTGGATAACCAATACAATCGATCCGAATTTAAAATCAACTCTACAAAATTTCGAGAGGCTAAATCTTTGTGGGATCATCTTAAAAATAGATTTGCCCAAACTAATGGCCCTCGTATTCAACAATTACATTCCTCAATTGCAAGATGTGAGCAATCAAAACACACAACAATCTCAGAGTATTATGGCAAGTTACATACCTTGTGGCAGGAATTAGATAGACACGAGCCTTTGATTTCTTGCTCGTGTTGTGGGGCTTGCACGGCCGGCAAACGCCATGAGGAACGCCGTGAGCAAGCGCGACTCCATGATTTTTTAATGGGTCTTCAATCCGATTACTCTGCCTTAAGGACTTAAATTTTGAGTCAAGATCCATTACCCAGCATAGATCGAGCCTTCCAATTGATCTCACAAGAAGAGCGCGTCCGGAATTGCAAGATTGGTGCCGACGGAACTACAATTACCCAGAATCCGACGGAGGCAGTGGGCTTCGCTCTTCGTTCAGACCAAGGCACGCCATCAGTTCCGCCAGTTCCCAGTGCTGTGCAGACCCGTGGTCGAGGAAGAGGATCCGACAGGCCACCATGCTCGAAGTGTCGCCGGAACAACCACGACACCGCCAATTGCTGGTCCTCCATTGTTTGTACTTACTGCAAGAAGAAGGGGCATCCTTCAACCCACTGTTATGAACTTGTGGGGAAGCCAGAGCCCAGAAATAATATAAATGCTAAGCCTCCAAGTGTTATAAATCGGGCCAATGCCACAGTAGGTCCAACCCCAACTAATTCTCAAACTCCCAATACTTTATTTACTCCTGAACAATGGAAAGCGATTGCGGGTATTGTGGGTAATTCTCAAATACCCGATAACAGGTTAACAGGTAAATTTGATGACTCATCTTGGATCATTGACACGGGGGCCACTCATCATGTCACTGGAAATAAATCTTGGTTGTTCGATATTCAAAATGTTTCTTGCCCTATTGGGTTGCCGAATGGTCAAACAGTTGTGGCCACCCTGATGGCCTCCGTTTCGTTATCAACCAATTTAACTCTCACCGGGGTTCTTTATGTTCCCACTCTAAACTGCAATCTATTATCTGTCTCTAAACTTAATGATGATTTACAGACTATTGTCCAATTTGACACTAATGGTTGTATTATACAGGGCCAAACGAAGGAGCTGATTGGAATGGGGGCTAGGAGAGACGGATTATACTACTTTAGCAAACCGAAACTTGTGTCACGAGTAGAGGTAACCTCGTACTTGGAGCTTTGGCATCGTCGTCTTGGACATCCATCTGAAAAATTAGTTAAATTAATTCCTTTTTTAAGCAATAATAATAAAGAACATCTAGTCAATGGATGTGAAGTTTGTATGTACGCTAAACATTCTCGAGACAAATTTCCTTTAAGTGAAAATAAAGCTACTAGAATATTTGAAAAAATTCATTTAGATTTGTGGGGTCCTTATAGACACGTCTCGTCTTGCGGTGCTCGTTATTTTTTAACTATTGTTGATGATTATTCTAGAGCAACTTGGGTATACTTGTTGGTGGATAAATTAGAAATTTTTCGCATGTTCATGACTTTTGTCGCTATGGTTGATAGACAATTCTCAAAAAACAATAAAAATTGTCCAAAGTGATAATGGGACCGAGTTCAATTGTCTACTAGACTATTTTAGAGATACGAGAATTTTTTTTCAAACTTCGTGTGTCGGCACCCCACAACAAAACGGTCGTGTTGAACGGAAACATAAACATATTTTGAATGTTGGGAGGGCTTTACGGTTTCAAGCTAATTTACCCATTTACTTTTGGGGTGAGTGTGTCCTCACGGCAGCTCACCTGATTAACCGTACCCCATCCCCTCTCCTACAAAACAAGACTCCGTTTGAAATACTCTTCAACAAACCCCCCTTGTTTAATTCTATGAAAACCTTTGGGTGTCTTTGTTACGCTCACAACCAAAAGACAAAAGGGGATAAATTTGCTAGTCGGAGTAGAAAGTGTATCTTCGTAGGTTATCCTTTTGGAAAGAAGGGGTGGCGTCTTTATGATCTTGATACTAAGGATTTTTTCGTGTCTCGAGATGTCAAATTTCTAGAGGATGAGTTTCCTTTTAAAACAATGGAAAATATGCATGTTGCCAATCCGCCTCATAACAATGATATTCATGATGACTTTCTTCCAATAATTGACAACGATGATCTTGATGGTTTGGCCCAAGAACCTCCATTACCTCAGCCTACTTTTGCAGCCAACCCGTCTGATGGGCCTTATTCAAAAACAGCCCATCAGCCCAACATTCCTCTTACTGACACTCCCTTAAACCAACCCACATTCGCTGCCTATCCTTCACCTTCGCCCACTGGGCCTTCTCCAGAACCAGCCCAACAGCCTCCATCTTCTCCTCCTCACTTTGAAGAGAACCAACTTACCTCGTCTGGGCCGCCTGCTGCTCATTCAACTGGGCCGCCCCCTATTCAACATTCACCTTGCCTTGACTCTACCAACCAGTCCACTTCACCACCCAATACTCATACAACTCAGCCTTCCAATTCAGAAACTCCTTTGGGTCGTGGCCATAGACAAAAGATTCCCAATGTCAGGCACCGTGACTTTGTGACACATACGATTATTGCTAATGATCCCCTCTCCTCTTCCAATCACTCCTCAGGTACTCCTTACCCTTTGGCTCATTATATACATTGTGACAATTTTTCTGTGAGTTATCAAAAGTTTATTGCAGCAATCTTGACAGGGAAAGATCCAAAGTCATTTAAAGAAGCAATGCAACATGATAGTTGGCGCAAATCAATGCAAGAAGAAATTCGAGCTTTGGGAGATAATGGCACATGGACTTTAGAACGGCTCCCACTCGGAAAACGGGCTCTTGGAAGTCAATGGGTCTATAAGACCAATTACTTAGCTAATGGAGAGGTGGAACGACTCAAATCCAGATTAGTAGTATATGGCAATCATCAACAAGCCGGCATTGATTATGATGAAACTTTTGCTCCAGTTGCCAAGATGACTACAGTACGTGCTTTTCTGGCCATTGCGGCCTCCAAAAATTGGGAACTACATCAAATGGATGTTCACAACGCATTTTTACACGGTGACCTCAACGAAGAAGTATACATGAAGCTTCCTCCCGGTTTCCAAGGCTCGGACCCTTCCTTAGTATGCAGACTACGCAAGTCATTGTATGGCCTTAAACAAGCACCACGTTGTTGGTTCGCAAAGCTAGTCTCGGCCTTGAAAAAGTATGGCTTCTTGCAATCTTTTTCTGATTACTCATTATTTACTTATACTAATGGCAAGATACAGATCAATGTCTTAGTCTATGTGAATGATCTAATAATTTCTGGGAATTCTTCCGCTGCTCTGAACTCATTCAAGGCTTATCTTAGTGATTGTTTCAAAATGAAAGATCTTGGACCACTAAAATATTTTCTAGGGATTGAGGTTGCTCGTAGTTCACTGGGACTATTCTTGTGTCAACGAAAATACACGTTGGATATTATTTCAGAGACTGGCTTGCTCGGGGCGAAACCGAGTGGGTTTCCAATGGAACAAAATCATGGTCTTGCACTTGCAACCGGGGATTTGTTATCGGATCCTGAGAAGTATCGCAGACTTTTTGGTCGTTTAATCTATCTATCTGTAACTCGTCCAGATTTGGCTTATTCGGTTCATACTCTGTCACAGTTTATGCAAGCTCCACGAATGGAGCATTGGGATGCGGCTATACGGGTAGTTCGTTATCTGAAAGGGACTCCGGGGCAAGGAATCTTGCTTCGATCAGACAGTGATCTTACTTTAGAGGGTTGGTGTGACTCAGATTGGGCAGCCTGCTCTCTAACTAGACGTTCTCTAACAGGTTGGCTAGTGTTTCTTGGGAAGTCACCGATTTCTTGGAAAACAAAGAAACAAGATACGGTTTCAAAATCTTCTGCAGAAGCAGAATATCGAGCTATGTCTGCGATCACTTGTGAATTAAAGTGGCTAAAAGCTCTTCTCTTGAGTATGGGCATTCAACAACCTCAGGCGATTAATCTCTTTTGTGACAATCAATCGGCCTTGCATATTGCAAAGAATCCCGTCTTACATGAACGCACAAAACATATAGAGGTTGATTGTCATTTTGTTCGAGATGCGATCACCGAAGGTCTAATTGCTCCTCATCATGTCTCTACTACCTCTCAACTAGCAGATGTCTTCACAAAAGCTCTTGGCAAAACACAGTTTGATAATCTTGTATCCAAGTTGGGCATTTACGATGGTCATGCTCCAACTTGAGGGGGAGTATTAGGATATATTTACATATATTTATGGTAGATAGAATCTTCAATCTTTATCTTTTCCTAATTTCCTAATCTATCTTTGGTTAGGACTCCTTGATTGTATTATAAAAGCCTTGATGATAATCAATGAAACACAACTCAATATTTTCCCAAAACCTCTAATTTAACACACACCTATTCTTATTCACTTAATCAATCATTCCTTTCTACCAAATTTTTTTTAAAAATAAGATTATATATAATTATTATCTTTATAAAAATTAAAGGTATAATTATAATCACAAATCACAAAGATACTAAAGTCTAAAAAAGATCGCAATTTCTATGGAACTCTGACCACACCATGTCAACACTTGAGAGTAGAGGGGGAGGTAAGAGAATCCTCCTACTCCCAAGCAAATGTAGTTGGTGGAGTTCAAACAGCAACTCCATTTAGCTTTGCTTGGTAAAATTAATAGTAGAACATCAAATACCTTATTGCCTTTAAATATTTAATGTTTCTTTTAAAAATTGTAGATGTGTACGAATATTTTTTTTGAAATTAAATTATATTGATACTAGTGTGATCCTCATAAAAGCTCTCCCTCTCTTCTCTCTCCTCTCTTTTTAGGGTTTTAATTTTCTTGGTCGTTTAGGTCGGAAATAGTCTAATTTCTTCGGAAATTAGACTATTTCCGATCCTTTTTCTTTGATTTAATTTTCTTTTTTGTGTTTTTGATTGGTTTTGCTTTGTTTTGTTCTCTCCATTTGTGAGAGTTTGTCCCATTTTTTTTTTGCTCGTGTCAAGTTTGAAGCGGTGGAGTGTGAGCTATGCCCGATATGCAAAATAGTTATGATTTTGGTTGTAAAAGTTATGTTATTTTCTCTAATGATAATATTCTTCATACTTTAAAAAAAAAAATACTAGTGTGATCCTCATTTAGAGGTTACTCGGTCAGGCAAAGATTACCTCGGAATAAGTAACCCCAGTCACACGGCGCCTTATTGTTAAATCCATCTCAACGTCTAAAAAAATTTGTCAAAGCATAAAAATTTAAAAGTGATGGAGAGCTGCTAGTTCATATATTATGAGACAAAGAGATTTATTCATACTTCGCGTTATATATCAATCTATTGATTACTCACGTCATTATTCCATTCATTTCAAACTCGATCCAAGGAAAACAAAAACTAATTAAGCTTGATTAAAAAAAAAAGAAAAAAGAAAAAAGCTTGAGCCTTTTCCTAGAGAAGTGCTCAACTTAAAACTAAGAAAAATCTTATACTAGCAGCAATTACTCTAAACAATAAATGGTTAACAAATGAGAATTATACTTATACTAATCGATAGATCTCGCTTGTTTCTGTGAGTTCCATGCGCGGTGTAGCAAAACTTTCAATACATGTCTTTACTCTAGTAGAATAGTAATGCTCTCCTGTAAACCCACAACCATGAAATCCAACCTTGTTTATCCTCTTTGATTTCGGATTATACCAACCTAAACCATACTGAGTTCCTGGCAACAGATACTCCTGTGTTTCTGCGCGATAAGCTATAGGTATTCCACTTCCGTTAGGTACATTGCACACCTTTGTCCATGACTCCTCCACTCCGTGCTCCTTCATGATCCATAACCCGAGATGTGTAGAGCTAATGCCTCGAGACATCAAGAGGCATAAACATCCGTTTAACACTCCAAGCTCTACGATGTAGGGTTTTACTATAAAGCCTTGCATAAAGTACCCCTGATATAATTCCTCTGGCTCTGGCACTGGCATTGTACTCCATACTTCGTTGTGAAGATCGAAGGTAAGTATTGTTTCCTTTGAGTACTCGAAAATTTGTGGATCATACTCGGTGATATTCCAGTGTACGTGGTTGTTTACCACGACACCATGGTTATGTGCCTGGATATATAGCTTATAATCATTGATGTCCTGTTCAAATTCACTTGCAAGCTCCAACTCAGGCAAATCAATCATCCTCCACAAATGGTTATCTTTCGACAAAATGTAAACAAGAGCATTTCCTGGTGTAAAGTATACAATCTTGTAACAGTGACTGTAACTATCATAACCAAATCCGAAAATCCTGAAACTAAATGTTCTTTTTACATCTCTTGGGTGAGGTTGATCATTGTAGTTTAGAGCGTAGGTTGAATCATGAGTGTCGTGTTTAGAGGAATTAAACTTTATGGTAGGTAAGATCTTGAAGCTGGATTGTCCTTGCTTGTTAACAGACGGGTTGCAGATGGCAATGTGGTGCATCCCACATACGATCAAGACCAACCCATGGCAAGAGCCGGCGATATCAATCCTCCCAAAGATCACCTTTTTGGGGAGACGTTCACAAGGGAGACCATAGTTGCCTCTACCAATTCTTTCGGGTGACAGTTGAAACGAGGTAGGCAAAACTAGTTTGTTGATGGTGAGGTTGTCGGTGTTGTTACAGTCAAGGTAAGCGCGGTTGAGGGAAGGGACGACAGTAGGGATGCCATTAACGGGGAGGATACGGTGGCTAGTTGTTAAGATGAGGGAACAATTAGTGGAGTTGATATTAAGGGATCGACTAAGATGATGTTTGAAGAAATCATGGCTTTCGACGAGGTTTTTCCATGACTTGCATACACATTTTAATCGATGGAGAGATTTTACAGGCATTCGCGACAAAATTTCTGTGGTTACTTCCACAGGAATGTCTCTGTAATATGCCATACTTTCAAACAAAGAACAAGAATATGATGAATGGTAGTTTTCTCTTTATTTCACAGAAGAAATAAAGTTTGTGAATGCCAGGAATTCCATGGGATTCTAGGTATGGTTTATGAATGGAGGTATTGTTAGAGGTATTAATAAGATTTGTGAAATCATATGCATTGCGATATATTTTAGGAATTAGGATATAATTTAGTGAATAATATAAAATATATGGTACTTTATTATCTTATGAGATATTATTGTAAGGTTTTAGGATTGTTTATTATATTGACGAGATTGACTAGAATATTGATTATTTTCTCAATAATATAGAAGCTTATACGATTCCTTTACCCTAACCTTGCGGATTCCACACATATTTCCACATAAAAAAATTTAGCTCATACTCAATTAAGTCTTATATGTACTAGTAGATACTACCTTATACTTCTTCCGTTCTTTATAATTGCATTATATTGCTTCTACAGTAATCACAAATTCCATTTTTTTTTACCACATGGAATCTTTTATGTTCGTTTCAATATATACTCTCTATATTTCAACCTTTTATTTTAAGTTAAAAGATAATTAAAGATACTAATGATACACCCCAGTATTTTTTAAACAATAAATTACGAAAGATTCCTCAATTTTATACTCAAGTGTTAAACTGTCAATCATACTAAATGACATTCATGTTGCAAAACTAAAACCAAACATAATGTACACTCAACCCATGAATTAGCCCGCAAACTACATACAAAGAATACAAACAAATACAACCAACTTCTTATCATTTAATTTATCTGCAGTTAACAACCATCATCGCCGTTTGATGATTGCATGGAGATCCCTTAATGGCTCAATATGATTTTTTTTCTAATCCTAAGTATAGGCAAAAGATGTATTAGCAGCTTCTTGAAACACATCTATGCCAATCTTCTATTGGGTCACTAAACTACAATCTTCCAAAATTCATAAAGAAACAACCAAAAATAATGCCATTTTAGTTTTCGCGATTTCTGGACAGGGGGAAATTCTTTTCCCAAGGATTTTCATTCTACCAGAGATATCCAAAGAGCAACAGCCATTCCCAAAATGAGTGAGATCAATTGGCTTACACTACTTTTTAGTCCGGGGCTCCCGTTGTTGTTCATCTCAGCTAGGACCCCAGCAACCGAGATATAGATGAATCCACCAGCTGTGAACCCCTGCAAATGGTACAAAATGAATATATAAATGAGGAAAATTTCAGCGAGATTGTTGGAATTCCAGAACTGAGAATGACCAAATGATTTACCTCGATGAGAGATGACTGTCCTGGATCCTGGCCGAGAAGCAAAGCCTACAAATATTGGCAATGTTTTTCTTTGATGAGTAACTTGAAAAGAAAATGAAAAGGAATGTTTTAGTTAAGTGAGACTGTGAGAGTACTTGCCAGTGCTGTTCCTGCTAGCGCTACGAGTGCTGATAGGAAGTTGAATAACAGGGCCTTTGACACACTGAAACCTGATCGTACCAAGATTCCAAAATCACCAACCTGCATAACCAAAACAAGCTGTTAATCTAGTATCTTTTAGCTTTAATGCTGCTCAGGCAGAATTTTTTTTTTGTTAATAATAAATGTTAAAACAGCAATAGCACACTATAAATCAGGGGAAAGAAGGAAATTTGTATCATCTGAAATGAAGTCAGAACACAGAGCATAGCAAGGCCAATCACAAAAGTATATCAAAATAATCGACGTGGGTGCTGATAAGTTTCTGAAAATTCAGTATGTATGCTGATAAACTTAAGAGTTGAGGCCACCAAAAAGAATTATTGGCCTATGTAAGTCAAGCGATTAGTACTCGCAAGGATTGGACTTTTTATTACTAGGGCATTTTTTTATTTTTTTTTTATGATACTTGGAATATAGGGTATTCTGCAATTTCCTAGCTTATTTTGGGAAAATCAGACTTTCGATATTAAACTTTTTACTCCAATTCTAGAGATCAACTAATAGTTCCTCATTTACTTCAGTCTAATTAACAGCTAAAACATCTTCTCCATCCTCAGTGAAATATAATATACAGTAGTCGTACATAACAAATTATAGATCTAGATGGTTCTACAGTAACTATGCACAATCACCATCAAGGCACCAACAAAATCAGGAATATTTATGTATACTATCATGTTGTGGAAACATTGTTCTTCAACAAAGCCAAGCATACCCATTTATCTTTTATTTAAGTATTATATATGTGAAAATATTGTTCTAGAACTTGCCACAAGGATTTAAATATGATCAATCAGTAAAAAATTACAAATCCCAACACATTTTTAAAATAGAGCACAGAATTATATTTTTTTAAGTAAAAACAAACATGAAGAGCAAAAGCAGTGGTTTATTCTTCGACATAATTCATGTGAAACTTAAGATTAAGATCTCAATACACACTGATAGCCTGAAATACTGCTAAGGACTTGGTTTTTGTACTAAGCACTGTCATTTACAAAAAAAATGTGTCACAAAAATGCAAAGCTGTACACTTAAAGTTAAAAAAGAGCAATAGTGGAGAGAACAATTTGTCAGCATTAAGAATATGCAAATAGAATCATTATTCATAACGAAATACCTCTTGAGGGATTTCATGGGCAAGCAAGAAAATAGTTCTAGACCATCCACCAACAGATCCGTAAAGTAAGAATGCACTTCCTAGAGCCATGCCATCAGTGAAATTATGCTGCAACAATTTAAACATTATATCACGTCAGAGACAGTTCTTTTTTTACCAGAACAGTTACCATCTTCAATCTTGATGGCAAGTCTACCACCAATCAAAATGCAAAACCACTACATGATACATACTCACCACAGCATCAGAGAAGAGATTAAGATAACCAAAGACCAGGTTTGATGGTTGTTTTGTAGGCTTTGCTTCACCCACTTTCCTGTCAGCAGCATCTATATCCGATTTGTCATCATTGGTGTTGGCATTTTTATTTCTCTGTACACCAAATGAAGTCACAATGGATTTTAAAAGATATAAGAAAAATTAGTTTAAAACTATATTAATTACATGATCAATTTTCAGAGGATCAGAGCAGTGAAAGTACTATATAACCTCACAACATAAACCTATTGGTTTTATAATCACAATTGAGGAAACCTGGTTCAAAATTTATCAAGTGGCGATAGACAAACAACATATGCAGATATGCCCATTTTCCAGGACATTGATTACAAAAGGCATTATGTGCAAGCAAATGTTGCCAATGATGTTATGCTAACCGGTAGACTATAAAAAAAGAATCGTTCAATTGAAAAAGTAAAGGCACTAGTCTTTTGAACTCACCTTTTTTAGTTCCGTTCGGGACCCGGAACCTTGCTTTGACTTTGAAGTAGCATCAGCGGCTCCATTCAACATTTTCTCTTTAGATGGCTTTTCTGACGATTTCTCATCAATATCATCATCATCCTTAACTTTTTTACTGCTTTTATTATGGCGATGATGATGGTGAGCATGAGTCCCTGAATGACCCCCAGAAATTTCTTCAACATACCTAACAATCTTCTCCACAATCAGGAAAACCACAATGCCAGCTGCAGCAACACATAGCAGAATAAGAAAATTGGAATATTCTAACATTTGACTGCAAGAGCACAATTGAATGTTAGACAAATTAACGAGCCTAAATTTATAGAAACCTCATGAAAATTATGATCAACCAAAATGCAAACCAATATAGCAACCATAACTCCTATGTAAGTTTTAGATAAGGGTATATAGTGCACAGCCTACGCAGCAAAGATACAAGAAGTGTTATGAACAGAACCAAAGTATATGTCATAACTCTGTTTAGAAAAGTAAATCAAAGGGACAATGTGCAGATACAGAAACAATCAAGTTATCCTCAGTGGTTAAATTCCAGTTGATAAAATAGATAAAAGAAAATTGTGTAAATTATTTTATTTCATTTTTTTCAAAAACAGCTGTATTAGAATCGAATCTGCTTAATCAGAAACATCAATGCCAACACACAAATTGGTATCAATCATTCACATTCACCATGACAAGGTATTGACAAGATTCAAAATGTCAAACATACATTAAAAAGTAGATTTTTGAAATCTATTGAAAAAACTTTCTGCAACTTCAGTCATAAGATGCATGCTATCACCATCAGGAATATTAAATATTGTAAGGTGTGACAAAGCAACTCGCCAATCCATTACATCCTAAGCATGAAGCATATAACAAATGACACAAGAAGCAAAGTGGAAGAGCTCACTCATAGGCTCATGTACGGAAAAAAATGATACTAATACATCTCACTCATACTTGTAAAAAATAAAAAAAAAAACACAGTAAGTTTGGCAGAAATCTTCAAGGGGGAAATATGTCTGGAATAAGAAAAAAGATGTACTTTCATTCACAGAATACATGCTATCTGAATCATTAACAATCAGCAAAGTTCACAAGAATACATAAGCCTTGTGAAAATGTGAAGCTCGAAAGTGGTAACATGAAGGCCTTGATGAAGAACCAATGTGGAAAAAAAAAAAAAGCTAACCACACTTACATAGGACTGAGATTCCAATGGAGAGATCTTTCAAAGAATGAGCATGAGAATGTGAATGTGATTCTTCAAAATGAGCATGATCATCATGTGAATGAGAGTGGCCACCACCTGTATAGATGCCATACACCTTAGATATAATACAACATGCCCACTCAACTACAGATTGACAATGTACTAACAGAATAAACTTTCACACAATTGATAAATTCTGGTAAAGACCCAGCTTCTGAATGTTAAGCATCAACTGCCCTATCATCAAATGTCCTGCACAAATCAAACTAGAAACCCTACCTATCTTCCTCCCTCCATCTACATTGCTTCCTTCACCTAGAAGAATGGTTATGGATTCCACTTCAACTAATGTTTAGGATAATGTAATCATTTAGATGTAGCACAGGATGTCAACTGTGCTTTACTGTGGATCTGTAACACTGATTTGACTAGATAACAGGTATCCGCTGAAAATATCATCTGGGTTATTCGAACAATAAACTGATGAAGTATTTTAAAATTTCAGATAAAGGCTCTAATCATCCATAAGTTTTGAACTCTCAGATAAGTTAAATTCTCTCAAGATTGGAAGGTTTAAAAGGTGCCCTCCTCTTCCCATTTTCTGTCTTCACGTATCCAAGCAATGAGCAAAGCAGAGCAAGGGTCTATATATTGTATAAAATATGTGCTCACAAAGGGTAGTATAAATGTATAATGTCAAAACCATACAAGATTGAGGATAAGCAGAATTTGACTTCAGAAATAAATTGATGAGTGCAAAGATAAGGTAGGGTAAATGTATTCTTACTGAAAGCATGAGGTAATTGATGCAAAAAGGCATCGCCCAACATAGCTCCAGCCTGCGGACACAAAAAACATATGAAAACACCGTGATGCCAACAGGAAACCAGTGATGCCAGAAATACTCCATGAATATGAAACTTCCTTTACATATATAGAACATACATCTATGAGAATTTACTGCAACCCTCCCCCAAAATGAAATTAATATCAACAATTTTGAAGTAGAAAAAAATTAGAAGTTACTGACCACAACAAAGATATTAGGCAGTTTACAGGACCAATATCTGCTTTCCCTTTTCTTTAGCATAGACAGTTTTTACAACAAACTAATACAATATCATTTGATCCATAACATAGATTCCTCAATAATTCACAGTGATTAGGAAAACCACATTAACAAGTTTATAATTACATATAAATAAAGAAGTGTTAAGTTTCAGAATGCCTTCCAAATGTTCCAATAACATAATTCCAATATCCTCAGTCTCATATTTCCATTGAGATAATATTAACAATGTTAATACGTAGTACAATTTTTCACACCAATGAAGCACAAAGGGGATAAAATAAATAAATAAATAAAAACTCATACAGCTTAAAGAAACCTGACCCCAAATATCGCCAATGCATCAACAACCGCCTTGGATGGTTTACCATGTGCTGCAATCAAAAGAAGGTTTCAGCTTTTCATTCGAACATGCATCAAGAAGTAATTTAATTGTAGCATTTGGCACTCTTCAAACTTAAACCCTAATCAAATTATCAAATGGGTAAACCTCTTATTTTAAAGTTGTAAAAATCACTAACAATCTAGGCACAGACTACATATTTCGGGATTAATCCAAGAATGCAATGTCATCTGTTTAACATAGCACTGAATCACAGCTGAAGTTCTTCGGACCCAATTTCAAAATCAAATCAATTACTATTATCCCAAACACACACTCAAACACATTGCACGTAAGTGGGTGGCAGCTAGTTTAATTGGTAAAGTCTTCGGGTAATACCCAAGACCAAGAATCGAATCTCGTCTACGTCATTGTTCTTTGCAGCTATATATGCACATTGCACCCAATAACAAAAGAAAATGAGGAGTAAACTCACCACATAAAATCGGAACAATGGTCAAGCAGATCAAAGAAGCCAAACTCACCAAAAGCGAACACCCCATTGCATTAATCCAAAGTCCTGATTCCAAAAAACAACACTCCATTACTAAAAATAAAATTCCTACTCAAATTAATTACTCAAAAAATCCAATGCAGAACATAAGAACCCCCAATTTCCAAACATACCCAATTAGATTCTTGCAACAGAAATTAAGGCATTTTAATACCAAGATCGAAACTCTATTGAATTCAGAAAAAAGGGTAAATTAGGGAAGAAATTACGAATGCCGGAGAGTTGCGAGTGGGACCCATCAAGGTGATCTTCATGGTGATGATGATGGTGATGATTGTCTGATGCAAAACCGTACAATTTAAGATCTTCTTCCTCAGCAAGCTCTTCTGGAAGTAACTTCCTCTTATCAACTGATTGATCAATCTCATCATGATTATGATGATGATGATGATGGGAGTTTTCATGGTCATGATGATGGTGGTGACCATGGGAGCAGCCATGGTGAGAAGCAGGGGATTGGTGCCCAATGCATAGATCTAAGAGGGTGACTAAGAGGAGTAATAGCAAGATGGTTTTACTCCTTTGGACCGCCATTTTCGGGGTTTAAGGAAGGAGACAATGGGGTTGAGAGAGAAAGAATGGAGGATTGAGCAAGTGTGGGGTCAACACTCAACACTTTGATGAGTAGTGGAAATCGGATCATTTAGATCGGGTTGTATTAAGGTAGAAATCGAGTCATTTAGATTGGATTGTAATTAAGGTGGAAATCGGGTCATTCAGGTTGATGATTTTAGAGATTTTTTCAAGAAAATAAAGCTAGCTCAACTCCAAGAAATCTCAAGTAAATAGAGTTAGTGAGCTCAAACTCGTGATTTTAAAATCATGAGTTCCCACCAACTCTACCAAGCTTGCTTGATTTTTTATTTTAGTGATTTTGGTTTGGGTTATTTTGGGAAGAAGAGTTGTTTGGTTCATTTTGAGATTCGGTTAGTTTTAAGGATCCAATCCATATTATTACCAAATTTACATGTAAGAGGTTCCGATCTAGTAACCTGTAGTAGTTATTTTTTAACAAGATAACTTAATGTTTAGATAGTTATTAGAAAAGTTAATGAACAAGTTTATCAAATTTATTTCAATTCATTTTTCAAAACAAAAAGAAAAAAAGAAAATAAATTTTCAACTCATAATGAATGAAGTACTCCATAGTTCATAGTATTATTTTATTTATGCCCGTCAAAGGTTAACGCTTAAGAAAAATAAATGGTGTATGTTGTACTCCGTATGTAGATAGGTATAGGCCCAAAAATGTGAAGATCCCAGCAAATAAGGCATTTAAATGCTCTGTTCAAATGAAAGCCCATTTTTACAATTTGATAATTTGATGAAGTAATACCTTGCCAAAAAAAAAAAACCTCTTTTTCCAAAGGTTCCAATTTCCTTCAATTTACGTACTCTGACACTACTCTAAGGGCAAATTCTGCAAAAAATTGTCCGTAATTCTTAGAATCTCATATCATATCCATTCTCGTATGAATCTTTATGTTGTTTTAATCTAAAGAAACGAAATTTAGAGGGCAGTTGCCAAAGCACACCAAGTGTTTGATAAAAGGCCTAAGTGAAAGCAAATCAAACATGGAAGTTACAGTTGGAACGCTAATAAAAGTTGGAGCTACTGTTGCTGGAGGGATGCTCGCCCTCTCTCTCGCCACTTCCACCACCATCAAAGTCATCCATTTCGCAACCGAAGCTAAAAGGGTATCCTCTTTGATCTTCTAATTGTAAGGATATAATCCCGCGTTCTAACTGTTAGATATCTAACAGTTTTAACACTTTTGCAAATTGGTCTTATTTGTTGCAGAAAAGCGAGGCGAAACCATGTCTAGGATGTAAAGGAAAAGGGTTCTACATTTGCAAACTTTGCAAAGGGAATGCTACCATACAATGGTCTCCTTTGTATGATCCTATTCATATCAACCCTTGTCAATGCCCGACTTGTGATGGTCATTGGTTAGTCTTGTTCATTCCTTCAGTATTTGATCGGTTTTTCAAAGCTCAAAATTCACAAACTTCCAATATTCACATATAAGGTTGCTTTTATTGTATTTCAGCATTCAACGATGTCTCAACTGTATTGGTAAAGGATACTATTGAGCTCCTCCAATGGTGTATCTTGCTCCAACTTCTGCAATCCATTCAAGCTAGCTGCATAGTGCGTTGGATGGAATATACTCCATTGTTGTCGTGTCAAGATGAATCTAAGCATGACCGTGGTTTCCTATAAGTTTAACTAGCTTAGCTGATTGAAGTCTAATAATATCGGCCTAATTTAATTTGTACTGTAATTTCATTCTGTTTTGTTTGTGAATGAGAACATATTATGTTATATTTCTCAAAGAGTTAAAGATAAACGAGTGACTAGCTATTATTAATTAGTCTTGTATCAATTGAACTAAATAGAACTACTTTGTATAGTAGAAAAGGCTAATTCAGTTAATAATTCAACTATAAATTCAAACAGGTTTGTGTAACTGAATTGGTACAAATAAAGGATGGTACCAAACTCAATAACATTTACATTCTCTAGTCCATTTTAGATTTTTAGCCAAGAGCTTGAATTGGTGCGTCATTCAAAAAATCCCTCATCAGCATGTTCATCGATCCTGCTCATCATATATCTAGCTAGTATTACATATATATCATTCATTTGTGTTTCTTTCTATTATAGAACTTAGCTAGTTTTGTTGTATTTAGCTAATATATGACAAAAAAACACGTAATTACATAATAGTAGTGAATAGAAATTATTGGTAATGAAGCGACAAAACACATATATTTATATGAAGGCCACTAATTAAGGGTGTTGTTATTCGTCGCTCCCATTTTACCGAGCGTCGCTCGCATTTTTGCCTTGAAATTCCTAAATTGCCCCTTGGTTATAAATAGCCACGAGACTCCCGAACTACACATTTCACACTTGAATTTTCTCTCTCTAAAATCTGTAATCTCTCCCAAAAAAAATCAGAATTTTTTTTGGAAATCAGAATTTGAAAATTCATAAGAAAAAAAAAAAAAAAAAAACCGAAAAAAACCCACATCTTAATTCTGAAATTTGTCTCTAAAATCCATTTATTTAAAAAACTAGATTTTGAAAATTTATAGTAAAATCTGGAACAAAAAGTGAATCCGTATATTTAATTTTCTCCAAAAAAAAAAAAAACCAAAACCGAAAACAACCACAATCGACTTGCAATGGCTGACCGGAGGCGGATAAGGGTGACGTATGGTGGTCGTGGTGGCGGTGGATTTTCCGGCGAATAGGTAATCAAAACGAAAAAAAAAGTCTGTGGAAAAAACCCAGATTTTCTGGAAAAAGGGGACATCCGCCTGAAAAATCCGGATGTCCCCAGAACATCCGCCTAAAAAATCCGGATGTTTTGGGGACATCCGGATTTTTCAGGCGGATGTCCCCTTTTTCCAGAAAATTTGGATTTTTCGCCCTTTTTTTCCCAGATTTTTTAATTTTCGTTTATAGTATTTCTTCGTTATTTTTTTTTTTCAGTTTTCGTTTTTTTTTTTTTTTTACAGTGCATTTTTCCAGTTTTTTTTGTGCAGAATTTTTTATAATTTTTCAGTTTTCGGATTTTTTTTTTTAAGTTTAATTTTTTTCCAGTTTTTTTTTGCTCATTTTTTTTTCTGTTTTATTGGTTGTTGTTGTTGTTGTTGTTGTTGTCGTTGTTGTTGTTGTTGTTGAAGTTGTTGTTGTTGTTGTTGTCGTCGTCGTCGTTGTTGTTGTTGTTGTTGTTGAAGTAGTAGTTGTTGTTGAAGTTGTTGTTGTTGTTCTTGAAGTTGTTGTTGTTGAAGTTGGTGTTGTTGTTGTCGTTGTTGGAGTTGTTGTTGTTGTTATCGTTGTTGTTGTCTTTGTTGTTGTTGTTGTTGTAAGTATATTTTTGTTTTGTTTTTTTAATTTTTTTATTTTTTTTAATTTTTTAATTTTTATTTTTGGTTTGTTCTGTTTTTTTATTTTTATTTTTATTTTTATTTTTGTTTTGTTTGTTTAAGTATGTTTTTGTTTTGTGGTTGTAAGTATATAATTTTTTTTAATTTTTTAATTTTTTAAATTGTTTATCTTTGTTAATTGTTTTTAATTTGTTTGTGATATTTTTTTTTGTCGATTTTTTTTGTATCCTTTTGTTTCTATGCTTGTGAGGTTCTTTTTATTTTATTTTTAAATTTGTTTATGGTTGTTAATTTTTTTGATTTGTTTGTGTTGTTTTTTTTTGGTTTATTTTTGTTTTTGTTATTCGTTTATGTTTCTTAATTTTTGTATATTAGTTTGTGATGTTTTGTTTGGTATTGAGTTTTTTTTTTTATTCTGTTGTTATTATCTTAGTGAGGTTTTATTTTTGTTCGTGTAATTTGTTTATGTTTGTTAATTTTTTTTTATTTGTTTGTGATTTTTATTGTTTTTGTTGTTTATGTTTTTTGGTTTGTTTTTGTGGTTTTGCTTGGGAAAATTTATTTTTGTTTATGATTTTTCTGATTATGTACGTATTTAACATAGATTGAGGGTTCGGGAACTCGTCACGCAATATCTCGACGTTTGAACGCCTCAGTTAGGCGGGAGTCAGGCCGTTTAGGAAATACGGCCGAACCGTTCGATCACCAGCAGCAGTATGGGTATGCTGGTAACTGGTCGGGGGAGCAGCAGCCAGAACGCAGCATCCCCATGTACTCGTCGGGTGGAGTGCCTTCACCTTCATCTGACGATGAGGACGACGAGGCAAGTCAGGCTTCCCGCGATGAAGAGTATGACCCTCGTTATTATCATACGGTGCAGAGGGGTCATACTGGGAGATTTGTCAGCAGTAGTCAAACCAGTCAGCCTTCCACTAGCACAGCAGAGGCATGGGTAGTGCAGGAGGCGATGCCAGGAGGTCCTGAGGATGGGACCGTTATCCTAGCTTTGGGGGGCACGTGGCTGCGTATATATGGGGCGGGCAGGAGCGTAATGTTTTGCGCTGTTTGGGCAGGACGCAGTTGTGTTCTGAGTTGGTCGCCTGGCGAGGTCGTCTTGCACATGACCATTTGGAGATGATTGACGGTAGCGGTCTGTCCCACTTACCTGGGATCATGTTCAGGCGTTTGGACTGGCCGCTGATTTCAGCTTTTGTTGAGAGATGGCAGCCAGATACGAACACGTTCCATATGCCATTTGGGGAGATTACGATCATGCTGCATGATGTGTACTACATTCTTGGGCTTCGTGTAGATGGTAGCATGGTGTCCGCTACTCCCAGTACGGACATCCTGCGGGACGCATGCTCGATCACCATGGACATGACTGCAGAGGAGCTGAATGAGAAGTGCGGTACCAAGACTGTCTGGCAGGGTAGTGGGGTGCTGACGGAGAGGATTGCGGACTCGACCCTGGAGTCGCAGAGGCCTTTCAATGTCCATTACAGTGCCTACCTGTGGTTAGTGCTGGGCGGATGTCTGTTTCTGGACAAGAGTGGTAACCGTACTCATCCGTCCTTCCTCAGCGAGCTTGTTGTGGATGTTCTGCCGATCAATGAGTACTCTTGGGGTTCAGCTGTTCTGGCGTATTTGTATCGGCAGTTGGGTACGGCATCTAGAAAAGATGTCGATTCTATCGCTGGTTGTCTTACACTTCTGCAGGCGTGGATCTATGAGTATTTTCCGTGCTTCCGGCCTCAGCAGGGTACCTTGACTAGGGAGCTCAGTGTTCCGCGTGCCTCGGCTTGGGATGTGAGATCGGGATGCCCCAACAAGAGAATGGAGCGCCTCCTCGCATTTCGTTCTAGATTGGATCAGCTGACCGATAATGAGGTTAACTGGCTCCCGTACGGGGTTGATCCGGCACGTCGCGTGCCAGCCACTTTATTCATTGGCTGCATCCAGTATCGGAGTATCATTGAGCCATACATGCCTGATCGAGTCGTTCGGCAGCTGGGATTCGTGCAGGACATTCCGGGGACCATTATCAGGCCTAAGAAGGCTAAGAGGCCTACGAACTTGAAGATGTATCGGGTAGAGTTCCCGACTGAGATGACATCAGTGATGTGGACTCGGTTTGTCCCTGGTTCTTCGTTCAGTGTTGTTCCCGGTGCCCTTACCCGACTCGGCGGTGGCGCTCCTACGGTCGGTCCTGGTTACATGCAGTGGCTCTACCGATTTTCTCATCCTCGTATTTCTCCGGGTGGGTCTTCAGCTGCGGACACACTTCCAGAGAGGACTAACACGGACTACGTAAGCACTTGTGTTTTATTTATACTTTAAATTTCATGTACGCTAAATGTGAATTATGTAACTAATGTGTTGTTCTCTTATTTGCAGTGGATGGGTCGTTCCTTGGAGATTCACCGTAGGTCACTGGCGGAGTATCCCAGCATGTCGCCGGACACGAGGGGGATGATTGAGCAGCTGATTTTTGACTGGCAGGTGAGGATGGGGCTGTGATCCGCTTCTGTGTTTGTTTACCATTAACCAGTCCATTTGAAACTTTGTTTTGTTAATAAAAATAATGTAATTGCGAGTTTTGTTTCAACTTTGTATCATTACTTTGATTGATTTCCTTATATTATATCCCTAGAATTGTTCAACCTAAATTACATAAATCAGTTCAACCTAATTACATGTATGTATTCAATCTAATTACATAAGTTCGTCTTTCAACCTAATTACATGAATATGTTAAACCTAATTACCCTCAACTCGGCAAGTGCTCGTGTTACCGAGGTGCAGAACCTGGTTCGTCCAGAATGTCACAAATTTGGTCTTATGACAAAGCCAGGTTCTCTCGACGTAACTAATCACATTTGGGAAACAAGCCCACCGAGTTTTCATTCTGTCTACAGTTGAGTTATAATCCGCCTCGATCGCGGCATCCATGATACGTTTCCAAGGACCGTTTTTGAATTGCGCCCCAATCTTCTTGTTCTTGAACATATTAGTGACCCGAGCCTCCACATCTTTGTTAATGTGCCACCGACAAAGCAAATGCAACGTCCCGGGAAACTCTTCTCTCAATGCCGCACAAAGTCCAAGCTCACGGTCTGTCAGAAATACCGACGGCTCCTTATCATACCCAATCAACTTTCTTAATCTCTGTAGAACCCACCGGTAGCTTCCCGTGCACTCGTTGTGCATGAACACATAACCGACGAGAAAATTCTGATTTGTCGGTGTCACACCGACTATCTCAAAGAACGGCATCCCGTATCGGTTGGTCTTGTATGTCGAATCCATACCGATCACATACGGATACGTCCGTAGTATGTTCACCGTGATCGGGTGCACCATAAACGCATGCTGCAGAACGCTGACATCATCAAACATGACCCAGTAAATATACCGGCTCTCTCTCGCCAAATGTAGAAATTGCTGAACAACTCCTCTCCCATCAGACATCTCCGCTCTCAAGTCATTCCGGCAGTTGTAGATATGTCGGATGTTTGGATGATCATCGGGAAATTGCTCTGCAATTGTCGCCATGATGTTCCGCGGTGCAACCTTGGACTTTGTCATGTCCTGCACAACCTTCTTCGCATCCGGGCTCAAGCCACTGATCTTACGATGACCCTCCGGATAGACAATCATTGGATGGTTATGGGTCCCAGTTGCATCATTCTTGGCCCGGATCTTCCAACTGTCGGTGACGAAGACATAATAAATCTTGATGTAGAAAGGACAACCAATTGCTTTGGTTTTGGTGTCCATCCTAATTGCATTCTCAAGATCTCTCGGCTGGCTCTTTCGGCCCCTATCACACCTCAAATACCGGTACGGCCGACCGTCTCTGGTTTTGTTGTAAGACGATTTAACCAAAAGAAAACCCAGATTTACGGCAACAGCATACGCCCAATTAACTGCCTCATCAAACGTTGGAAACAACGTGTCTGTGGCAAAATGCGCACTATAATTCACATCGTCGGCACCATCTTCGTACTCCGAACCCTATAAAAAATAATTATGACACACATAAAACACAAACACGTTACTTCTAATTCTAGTATAGACAATAATAGTAACAATATTAAAAATAATATTAACAATAACCAAACAATACTAAAAACAACTTAACAATAATCATAACAATACTAAAAATAATATAAACAATAACACTAATATAAAAAACCATAACAATAATAAACAAAATTATCGAAAGAATAATAAAATTAATCATAATAATTACACAATTAAACATAACGATAATAAAAACAATAATAGTAAACACAATAATAACAACAATAATAGCGATACTAATAACCAATAACACACAAAAAAAAGAAAAAAAAAATAATAACCATAAAATAATGATAATAACCATAATAATAATAGCCAACACTCATAATAAAATAACACTAATACTAATAATCAAAAACATTAACAATAACACTAATATAAATAACCATAACAATAATAACAAAAATAATCGAAACAATAATAAAATTAATCATAATAATAACACAATTAATCATAACGATAATAAAAACAATAATAGTAAACACAATAATAACAACAACAATAGCGATACTAATAACCATTAACGCACAAAAAATTAAAAAAAAAAAAATCGGTTTTATGTCACTAATGGAAAAAAACAGAAAATAAATAACAATAACACTAATGGAAAAAAATAACAATAACACTAATGGAAAAAAACAGAAAAAAAAGAAAAAAAAATAACCGGTTTTAAGGGACATCCGGACAAAATTTCCGGATGATCCATGGATGATCCGGAAATTTCATCCGGATCCTCCATGGAAGATCCGGAAATTTCATCCGGAAGTTGCATCCGGATGAAATTTCCGGATCTTCCATGATCCAGATGAATTTTCCGGATCTTCCATGGAGGATCCGGATGAAATTTCCGGATCATCCATGGATCATCCGGAAATTTTGTCCGGATGTCCCTAAAACAGAAACAAAAATTTTTTTTACGAAACTTACAGAATCTTCCGACGATGCCTCCGGTGTGCGAACGTTGCCGTCATTCCACATCTTAAGCCCGTAAACTCAGCTCCAGAAAAATTTTGGGAACAACATTTTTTATAAAAAACCGATTTGTTTTGCCCTCGCTCGGGAATTTTGGAACTCGGGATTTTGAAAAGGAAACTTTGAGTGAAATCGCTCGATAATGTTTTTAATATGATCGTGATTGGTTATGACTACTCGGTGAACCTTTAAATAGCACAAAATAACCTAAGGGCCAAATGGTCATTTCACTCAAAATTGGGAGCGACGCCTGGTAAAAAGGGAGCGACGAATAGCGATTCACGTAGGTAATTAAAACACACGAAGTATTATTTAGATACTTGGATTATTGAAATAGTACACATAGGAAACATGAACACATTGCGTACTAGTGCAGGGAAGTTTTATTTAGTACATTATACTAGCTAGCTAGCTAGTAGCTAGTAAGACTGCACCAGCATTATATTAGTTGAGCAACGCAAGCTCAATCCCAAACGACGTTGACTTCGACGGAGCCAAACTTTCCGCTAATGGGTTTCATCTCACTTGCACCAGCTTCTTTGACTAGAAACACAACTTTACCGTTTGCAATTTCATCGTCACTAGAAAGACTATCATAGTCCATCAAGTGTGCTTCAATCTCCATTTCCGTGGCGGCTTTAGGCACATTCACACCCGACTGGCTTAAGGGAATGGATTTCCCTGGCCTTACTTCAATGTGTTAAGTTTGAGACTTATCAAAGAGTGAAATTTGGCTACTGACTCCAAAGCGACCAAATATAGTACCGTAAACTTGTGCAGGATCTTCTCCATCGCCGTTGATGAGCTTAACACTCAACGTAGCTTGAGTATTGTCAATCACGTTCGTTGCATTTTCTTGAGTGCTGGCCATCTTTTGAGTATAATAATCTCCTACATACAAACCACAAATTATTAATTAAGATGAAAAAAACACATGCATTAGTGCCAAATATTTATTAAGATACCAATAAGATCAATCTTGGCCTAGTCGTTAAGACTAAAGGTCTGCGACTCTGTGTACAATATATCATTGTTTTAAATCACAGACCTTTATCTGTAACTTGTATTGCCTTTGTAATCCATTCGGACCCAAAAATATTAATACTAAGCTGGTTAAGATCAATGAATTGAGCGAGCTAATTAATTAAAGAGATCGATAGGCACTTACCTTAATTAAGTATGACCTTCTTCTGTATCTGTCTGACTTGCAAATAATGCCATGCTTGCCCACCTTTATATAGTGGGAAAAGATGAGATGGAATCAATATACAATTAATTGATGATGTAGTGGCTTGGGGCTACTACCATGGTGGCAGCGTTCTGGCCAGGCGCCTCAGCCACGGTGGCGGCTTCCCGGCCAGGCGCCACCGCCACAATTATTTTTTTTTTTTGTTTTTTTAATTATATTTAAATTTTTTTTTCTTTATTTGTTTTTTAGCTTTGATAAATTTGAAATTAAATATGTTTTTTTTTAAAAACAATTTAATTTGAAATTAGGTTTTAAATATGTGTGAATAATTTATATAAAAAAAATAGAATTATGGTTTAATTTGAAATTATGTTTTAATATGTGTTAATAATTTAAAAAATAAACAAATTTATAATTTTGTATGTGTGTGAATACTTTTTTATATAATTACGTGTTAATTTTTTGTTAATTATGTGTAAATTTAGAAATTAAATGTATTATGCGTTAAATATAGAAATGAAATTTAGAAACTTAAAATTTAGAAATTACTTATGTGTTAATTTTTTTTATTCTTTTTTTTTTTGTTTTTTAACTTTGATAAATTTGAAATTAAATATGTGTTAATAATTTAAAAAAAAAACAAAATTTATTTTTTAAATATGTGTTAATAATTTATAAAAAAAAAACAGAATTATGGTTTAATTTGAAATTATGTTTTAATGTGTTAATAATTTCAAAAAATAAACAAATTTATGTTTTAATTTTTGTATGTGTGTGAATACTTTTATATATAATTACGTGTTTTGTGTTAATTATGTGTAAATTTAGAAATTAAATGTATTATGCGTTAAATATAAAAATGAAATTTAGAAATTTAAAATTTAGAAATTACTTCTATGTTAATTTTGTGTCAAATGTATTAATTTAATCCTTATGTAATTATATTTATATGTCATTGTTGCAGGATTATAGTGGAGACGGAAATGATTATAGTGGGATTTTTGTACATGATGGTTTGTTTGAAGATGCTCAACAAGCGATTGATTGGGCAAAATAGGTTGCAATTAGATCAGATTTTTGTTTAGTAGTAGCAAGTCATAAATCTCAACGGGATGGTAGAATGGATCGCATTTTGGGATGCGGCCGTTATCGCAAAAGGGAGGAACGAGATTTTAATAAAGCGATTCGGTTGGATACAAAGCGGAAAGATTGTGGGTGTCAGTTCAGAGTAAAGGTTCGACAACAGCAAAGTCGTGACGGTTGGGAAGTGAAGGGTTACGGTAAATGGGGGTATCACAACCATGAGATGATAGTATATGAAGTGGGTCATCGACAGTTAAGCAGCCTAAGTCCTGCTGTGAAACTAGTTGTAAAAGAAATGAATGATGCTCAAGTGAAGCCTGCTAAAATATTAGCATCTGTATTAGAGAAATTTCCTGAAGACCAGCCAAACCTAAGACACATCTACAACGTCAGACAGAAATTGAGGTTTGAACGGTCAGAGGGAAGGAACCCTATACAGCAGCTTCTACACCAGGCACAAGCACGTGGTTACCTGTTCTGGTTTAATTCTGATGAAGACACATTGGAGGTGACTCATTTATTCCTTGTGCATCCTGATTGTGCTGATATGATCACGTCTTGGCCATCTGTGATTTTGATCGATTCAACATACAAGACAAACAAGTACAAGTTCCCACTGGTTGAGATGGTTGGGATGACTCCAACAAACTAGAACTTTCTGTTTGGTGATGCAGTCATCAAGGATGAGACGGCTGCAAGTTACTATTGGGCGTTGGAGAAGTTGAGAAATTACATCGGCCCAAATGTTCAGCCATCAGCCATCGTCTGTGATTGTGAGGGAGGTCTCTTTGCCCCTATAGCAGAGCTGTTTCCGGAGTCAAGCCATTTACTGTGCACATGGCACATCAATAACTGTGTGAAAGTCAAAGCCTACAACTTTTTCAACAAGAATTTAGATTCAGTAGAGAGATTGGTAAATGGTAAGTGGCGGAAGATCCTACAAGCTACTACGAAGGCAGAGTACGATCGATCCTTGGAGCAGTTCAAAGATGCGTACCAATGGTGCCCGACAATGGTAAACTATGTGATGCAGCAGTGGATACCTCAAAGGGAAAAGTTTGTCAAATATTGGACAAACCAAGTTTTTCATTTTGGAAACACTACAACATGTAGAGTTGAGAGCGCTCATAGAGCTTTGAAGGACTGGATTGATTCTTCCACCTCTGCTCTGGATACACTGTACGAGAGAATAAACAAGGCAATTGACACTCAAAAGAACGGCATCAAGAACTCTCTCGAGGAATCTAGACGGCGACATGGCATGATGTATTGCCATTTCATATTTAAGATTCTCCATGGTCGTGTGTCACACTACTGCTTGGGGTTGATTCTGAGCGACCACAACAGGATGAGGGAGTTGGGTGATGAAGTGGCTATTCGGTGCGGATGTACTATATCAGTGACTCATGGACTACCTTGTGCATGCACCATTCACCACGTAATTACGCAAGATAGGGCGTCGTTACATGTTGATCAGGTTTATCCATTATGGCGGACGCTCGTTATTGGAGAGCATGCTGTTCCACAAACGGTCCACCGTGAATAGGAGGAGTTGGAGCAGTTTCGTTCGATGTTTGACCAAGTGTCCTCTAGTCACCCTTCAATCATTCCTGATGCTACCCACGTACTTCATGACATGTTCAACATGTCATGCTTGGATCACGAGGAACCCGAAGGGGTCGAGCGATCTAGAGGTCGACAAGCACGGCGAAACAGGAGTGCGTTTGAGTACATTCGTGGTCGTGGTCGTGGTCGTGGCCGTGGTTGTACATCGTCATCAAGTCGTAGCCAATCTTCTTCGTCGGTGAATATGTCCGGCACCGGTACGGTACTTTACTTTAATTTACTTTTTAGAGTGTTTGATTAGTTTATTGCTGAGTTGTTAATTGTGTTTATTGATGTGTGCAATAGGTAGAATGAACATTGAACATTTTCCATATAAGGACAGGATCCCTAACATCATGATGCCATTCTTGGACGGGTGGAATGATGTGGTTGCAGATGGTAACTGCGGATTTTGGGTTGTGGCTGATGTGTTTCAGATGGGTGAAGACAACTACGGTTTAGTGCGTCAGTTTATGTACAATGAAATCGCCTCAAACCGAGGTGTTTATCGCCATGTGTACGACCAGGACTTGGATAGGTCTCTGCAGCGTATCCGGTAGAGAGGAGGACCTTGCGGTCAAAATCATTGGTTCGACGCGCCACTTGATCTCTTTGTCGTTGCAAACATCTACAAGTGTGCAGTCCTGCATTTCGGCCTTGGTTTGCGTAATCGAGCTTAGTATCCATGTACCACGGTTCTGCCTTGGTGTTCCCGTGAGACCGTCACTTGACCGGTAAGAGAGGTTGCTATTGGATTTCTGGGGCCGTCATACAGACATTTCATCCGATTGGACCTGTCACCCGATTTTCCGGTCCCACCGATCATACCGAAGTGGTACACCATTCGTAGAACAAGCGTAGAGGGTTGGGATGCGCTGTATCATGCTCGGGTGCAGCAGTGGAACAACCTAGCTGCCTTTTAGTTTTTCACGCGTATACCTACCTTTTCTATGCAACATTATATTTTTATTGCTATTTTTATTCCAGATATTTATTTTTCGTATTCTAATTTTGACTAAATTTATATCTTGCATGCACACTAATTAGATATTGCGCGTTACAAACTAAAAAGATAATGTCAAATTTTAAAAACTTAAAATAATAATTTCAAATGTTAAAAACTTAAAAGATAATGTCAAATTTTACAAACAACTATGATAATGTACAAAATTTTCTATAAACAAACTGCTCTGTGACACCCACTGCCACTGCTCAAGGGCCCATTCCAGATCATCAATATATTACAACAAAATAAAGCAAAGGTAACATTGAAAAATCATTGCCTAATATGAAAAAAGTGTTGCCTTATAGCTAAGGCAACACATATGAGGCGTAATTTATGCCCCCGTTATCTATTCATAAAGCAACACATTTTAGTTCAAAAGCAACAATTTTAAAGCCAAGGTATAATGATACCTAAGGCAACATTTTTATAAAGGCAACAAATGAAAACTATTGCCACCTAAGGAGACAATTTGAAATTGTAACCTTATATCATATTATGCAACAAGCTTTTCAGTTGATGTATCTTAAGGCAAAGATGAATAATACAAAAGTGTTGCCAAATATCTAAAGGCAACACCATTAAAGCTATTATATATAAAATTATAATTAAATGAGCAAAGATGAATAAACATATGAACTCAACAATACACAATAATCAGTTTAATAGGAACTTGAACATCAATATAGAAGAAACTTGATTTTATAACAAAATTCATGTCAACTCATTAAAATCCAAAAAACAATATCCAATAAAATTTTACTACAAAATACTCATAAAAATACTAAATAACTTGTAATTCATGATCTAAGCTAGTACATTTCTAATAACACTAAATGTATATTTGTTTATATCTAATTTTGTACATGGGGGAAGGAATGTAACCCTTAAAGAGATGCTAATAGATCAACTCTTTGTTTTTGTCTTTAATATATATCTTCTTCCATGTATTTGTACGCCCTGTATTACTGATCAAATAACAAAGTTAGAATAATAATTTTCAAAAACTAAGAAAAATAATTGAAATTCTAAGCAAAGATATAGAATTAAAACATTTGACTAGTATGGCAAGCAAAACATACAAATATCAAGATTCATAAAGAAATTTTTACATTCATCCAAGACCAAAGGAAGGAAATAGACGAACACTAGTTAGTAATGTAATACATCAGATATTCACCATGCATAGATAAGGAAAATAAAGAGTAAATAATACTCCCTCCAATTCTATTTGCTCTTCCACTCCGGAGACAAAAAAAAAAAGTCAAAGTGGAAAGAACAACAAAAAAGATTGGAGGGATAGTGAGATAAAATACATAATGAAACAATAGGCAAAATAGAAATTATGTCATATGTTTAATGGTATAGCCAAACAATTAATCTTATAACTTACCTTATTAAAGTTGTAGTAAAAGATAAACTTCCAACTAAGTTTACTGGACATGAGAGGCAAAGTAGAGTGGAGAAATTGGCCGGTGGAAAATAATCTATGTACATTATGATCTTTCAGACACTTTCACAGACTAAGATAAACCTTGGTAAGGAAGACAGGGAAATCAAAGTCTATTACACTATGATTACCCTATGAAATACGATCAATTTAATGTCTAGAGTGCATTGTTAAATGTTAGAAATAGATATCCTTTAGAACTCGAAAGTGCACCCTTTTAAAAATAGTAGTGATGCGCAGCCTTACAGGTATATTAATACATTCTTGATACAAAGAAGTAAGATAGTTGTATGACTTGTATCTAGAACTATCTAGGAAATCATTCTTGTTGGTAGCTCGAAAGGCGACAAGATTTTGGTTGTTGCTCCTAATTATTATATAAAGTGAGTTATTTTGTTGATCCTAATTAATTTACCCACCCTTTACTTACCAGATTCATAATCAAACCATCAAAATAGCCTATTAAGTCAATCATCACAGCCATACTGACAGCAGCTATAGCTACAAGAACCATCAAACGGCAGAACACACACACACACAAACTCCCCCCCCCCCCCCAAAAAAAAAAGGAAAGAAATCAAAACAATGAAAACAAAGTAACTCATTAGCTCTATATATATAAATCACTAATTACATTATTACATTCCATCCACTCTGACCTCTTTCTATAAATATCCATTCTAAAGATTTATAGCTACAAGATCAACAGCTAGAAGATTTTTAACTATAAGTAATAATATTTAGTTCAATTTTACAAGTAGACAACTTAAAATAAACGCAGTAATAAAAAAATGTTCACATCTTAGGCTACACAATAGTGATCTACTCTTTAGAAGACTATTTGGTACTAGACTGCTACCATATTGCTAAGGCTACTAACTTCAATCTTTAATTGACACACTCATCTATTTTTGTCGATTGACTTTCATTTTCAAAATAAATCATAACTAGTTATAGTGAAACAATTTTAGTTTGAATTTCAATCGTATAAAGGTGTAATTTAGCTACTTTTGTAACTCATCTTGTTTTTTACACTGACATCGATCATTAAGATGAAAACGTTATTTCTAAAAATTTGAAGGGTCTTTGAAATCACTTTTCTTATTAAAATAGACTATGGCTTATTCTTTTAACCTTTAAAAACTTTCCGTTCAGATAATTTGAAGTTGCAATCGATATTGTTCCCTGTATATTACTCCCCTCCATGCCCCATCCCTGCACACTGTTCCTCTTCCTTACCCCTTTTACTTACACCACTGCACCACTAAACAGACAAATTATTCAAAATATATCTTGATGCTAAACATTTAATAGGACATACATACTCCAAATCCATATTTTCAATTCCTAAACATTTAATAGGACATACATACTCCAAATCCATATTTTCAATTCCTAAACATTTAATAGGACATACATACTCCAAATCCGTGTTAGCAGACTATATGCCCTGTTATCAACGCCAGCAGCAGGCTACCAACAGCAGTAGCAGCAACAGCAGTCTGCCAGCAATAGGCAGGGCAACAGCAGCAGTCTGCCAGCAATAGGCAGGGCAACAGCAGCAGTCTGCAAGTAGTGGCAGCAACCTAGAAACAGGTTCCAAGGCTTAAGGAATTACCCTAACCTCTAATATAATTAAATTGCTTTTAATGATCCTATGTTGTAAGACTAAGCTTAGTATAATGCATTTTAATCTAGATAGCTCATTATAAAAGGGAAATGTTAAGTTAAAAAGGAAGTCAAATTTTATTAAGTGTGAGCTAAATTTAAAACAGGAATGTAGACACATTCTCAAATGGATGCAACTAATAATTTGAGGTTGTTGGTTGAATCAACTGGATAATGTGTTTATAGCTTTTGGTTTATAAATTGAAAATCTAACTTGTTAATTACCTTGATGTCTTATAAATAAAAATAGCTATCAATTAAGCATCATTAAAACTCTCTGATTCATTACTACTCCATTTAAATTTTCTCATGATAAACCTGCTTAAACCCCTATTTGCTCTAATGCAACTAAACAGTATCTAAGGCTTGAATCCTTTCCGCCCTCACATGCTCAAGACCTTTAATTTCATAAGTCTAAATAATAGGCAATTCAAACATACTTCAACTTTAAAAAGCATATAACAGGTTTCACAAAAACGGCGAAGGTAAGTATATACACTAAAACTGAATAGAGGTGCTAAAACGATACGAAGTAAATTATAACCAAAAAATCATTAGGTCCGAACTGAGAACTTACAACTTAGAGATAATCAGAACTTACAACCAAGCTAAAGAAGCTGAGTAATGACAATTAGAAAAACAAACCAGGGTGTCCATTATCCTTGAAGCAAATCTTAAGCAGATTACCTCACAAAAGAATCACAATATAATACTAAGCAAATTAATCAACTTTGAAAGAGGCTATTATATTAAGCATCACTTACCAATTGGTCAAATTAAAGGTTAGGCTCCGTTCCAAACTGCTCGTATTAGAGAAAATTAATAGCACTCTAGCTCATTGATTAGTATCAAGCTACCTAGATTAAACACACCACAAGTACAACTCACATAAATATTACAAGTACAAGCGAATTTAGCAATTAATATTCTGAGTTTCTTGTTAAATTAGCTTGTACAACTCTGTAAAAAGTGGGTTACGAAGCTGTTTATCTGATTGATACTTAAGTTAAGTCTTAAGTGTTATTTGTAGCAAAAGATACTCTCTTATCGGTAAAGCAAGTAATTTGAAATCACGAACCTGTATATTTTCAATAGTTCAATACTTCAAATCTTCAATACCCACAAATCCACAATAAAAGTATAAACTATAAAACAATTAAACAAGTAATAAACTAATAATTCAGAGATTAAAATCAGATTTACATACCATTTGGTGATTTGGGTGAATTGGGTCTAGCGAAGAGTCGAAGACAGAGTAGAAGACGCGAACAGCCAACAGCGAACTCCAATTGTCGAACGATTGAACGAAGACGCGAACTGGAACTCCAACTGGTAGACCTGCAGACGCGAACTGGAACTCCAAGTCTCCAACTAGCAGACGCGAACTCCAACTCGAACGAAGACGGCAGACGCGAACTCCGACTTGGTCTTGGGATGAACCGACGAAGTGCCGGAGTGGAGCGGTGGCCGGTGGAGCCTGTAGACCGCCGACGAGCGAGGAGAAGTGGAGAACTCCAACTTTCGAAGAGAGAGAAAGTTAGGGTTTCACTAATTCACTTCCTTCTTTGTTCTTTCTACCCGATACTGTTTGCACTCTTTCTGTTTTTAATTTCTTTTTTTTTTTTTTTTAATTTTTTTTTTACAGTTGGGGGGACTAGCTCCGCCCCTGCCTGTATACCTTAGCTTCTTTTCTTTACAATAGTTGATGTCAGAGTTAGAGCAATCAAAACGTGAAGCCACTTTACTAGAGAACATTGTGAGGAAGCTCAAGAAGATTTGGAACTAAAAGCAAAAATTAGAAGCTAAAACTAAAAGCCAAAACTAGAGATTAATCAACCTATAATCTATCGTGCTATGATTGTTTCCATAATAATCAAAATCAATCCACATAAAAAACAAAAAACCCAATCTACCAATTCAAGAAACTAGAAAAATATAAATTAATTCTTAACATATTCTCAATTTAAATTATTCATAACAGAAAATATTTATAAATGTAACAACTAATTGTGAAAAAAAAGGGTCAGAGTAATCGTACTTGACGTTTTTACAATGAAAAACTATATTAAAAATTAGGGCTTTTTGCATAATCACTCAATTTCGAATGGTGGATTTCAATGAAACCTTGGAACCTAGATTAAAATCAATAATCGGACAAAAAATTCGATAAAAACCATAAATTTCGCAATTGCAAAACTTCAGGAAGGGGAAGATCTAAAGGATTGTAGGAAGGAAAAACATGAGTTGAGCATTTAACCTGGGAGGAAATGTCGTGGTGGCGCAATGGTGGCAGCAGATGAACTGGGACGGTGAACTTGCCTGATACACTTGAGCCTTCTGCGCTTTTTTCTCTTTTGGAGGTATTCTAAAAATTGTAAGCGGGATGCTATTATATATGTTGAGGGGTTTTTTTTTTCAATTTCTTTTTAATTATTGATGCAAGGGCAGCGACTACCAAGTTAGTCATAATATTAGTCGCAAATTTTAAGTTTAAAAAGGTATAAAAATTATAAACCCTTTCATTAGTCGCAAAATTTATACGAGTGTTGCAAATTAGAGACCGCATAGCAATTACTGCCAAATTAGTTGCAAAATTTGCAACTACATGTCTCTTTCAGTCACAAAAAACATTTTTGCGACTGAATTTTATGGTAATTGCAATTATCAGTCATTAATTTCCCTTTTTCTTGTAGTGTTTCATATTTTAATCTAAATTTTTTTGGGATTTGTGAATTTTTAGATTTTTTTTTTTGGTTTGTGCTAATATTTTGGTGTTTAATTATACCCAAACATAATTTTAATGTGGCACAAGTGTTTGAATAATAGGGGATAAAATACTCATGGCACAAGTATTTGTTTGTCACAAAATAGAATTACTCTTGGCACAAGTGACAATTTTCCATAAGAACTAGTTACTCGTGGCATAAATATTTATTATCCACGGGAATATTATTTAGCCGTGACACAAGTTTCAATTAGCCACACATTTATATTTTCTCGTGGCATAATATTTTGTTGTCATTTAAGTTTACTGGTTGAATTTATTTTCTCGTGGCAAGATCAAATTATGCCACGAATTTTGAATTCCCGTGGCATAATTCGTGGCACAAGTGGTGAAATGTTGTAGTGTACATTCTTAGGCGACAATTGTATTGTCGTTATCTTTTTTAGCAATATTTTCTAAATTTGTTGCCTTAAGTAAAAGAAAAGCAACATTTTAGGTAGATGATTGTTATCTTTAATGGTGTATAACAACACTTTTTTAATTGTTGCACATGGATATAGTAGTATTATTTTGGTTCATAGTAACATTTAATATTCGTTGCCTTAGGTTATCAAGGGTAATAGTTTATTTAGTGTTGCAATTTTAGGTGTTGCCTATTCTCATTATGTTTGTAGTGATAACAGCTCTGCTTGATGCAGTCGTCAAGTTGTCCCTCTCCTAAAAAAGTATGTGTCCCAGCTGCATCATCTTTCCCATCCATTACACACAACAAAAAACATGAAATTCAATAACGACGTATTATATATAAAAAAAACACAACAACAAATGTTTTATGAGACATACCGCATCCACAGCAGTGGGCGGTGGCACATCATGCATCATCATCAGCGTCGTCGCCGTGGTGGAGGTCTCTGATCAGTTTCGGGTGCGAATACCGGTTGTACCATTCCATGTAGTGCTGGTCACACATGGCAGTCACCCTAGTTGGCGGCCGCTGCAGCTCTGTCGTCCATAGGCGAGCAACCATCGAAAACTGCTCCCATGTGGCAATCATGCTTCCCGGCCATTAGACGACGTACTCCGATCCTTCGACGACGCAGATCGGACCACCTTACTAGGCCATGTTGGTGGAGGAGGAACAACTTGGACAAATCCAAGCTGGCGAAGACAGCGCTGCGGCAGGTACGCTTCTACGATCTCACAATACTGAATCAGTCCCGTGTAGAGGGTCCTGGGTACCCTATTACTAGGGTTCTGGCCGAAAGGCATCCAGTTCACCTGCACATTTTTTCAAATTAGTAAGATTCATATAATAAACACATCAAACTATAAAAGTAGAAATAATTTAAACACTTTACCTCTACTGGGGACATCCTGTCAAGTAATAACCGTATCGATCGCAGGCGGTCAATGGACTTCTTCTCGAACCGCATACTCCACGCATAAGCACGTGACTGCCCATCCCCAATAGGAACCGGGTCGCGGTGTGGTCGAAACGCAGGAAAATACTCGTATATCCAGGTCTGTAACAATGTCAGACATCCAGTGATACCTGCCGCATCAACCCGACTCGAGAATCCTAACTGGCGATACATATACACCAACGTAGCCGACCCCCAAGAAAACTGGCCTACTCTGTCGGGCTCACACGCGTCAACTATGTCGCGTGGCCTGAGCTTGTTTCCGCTCTTATCCGAAAACAAGGTACACCCGAGGAGAAGAAAAAAATATGCAGCCAACTGGGCGTCATACGTCCTACGTGCAGTGGGGTGCAAACAATGCTGCAAGACGGATGCGATCCGATCTTCACAACGCCGTGATCCCAAACACCAAGCGCTCTGGTGTACAGCGCAGCCCTGTCCACCGCCAACTGTTCCGCCAGCAAATCTGCCAAATCCGCATCAGTCATAACAGAAAGTCGTTTTTCCTCTGCGCGAATCCTAAGGATGGCCTCGACGTCATGCAACATGATTGTCATCTCACCGAACGGAAGGTGGAAAGAGTTCGTATCCGGCTGCCATCGCTCAATGAAAGCCGTGATCAACGTTGAGTCAATCCTTTCGTGCATGGTGGCAGGAAGGTGACTCACTCTAGTTCCCCTCAATCGGCCGAGCATCTCTCTCTCCTCCGGCCAAGCATCAGCTCAACTACGCAAAAAGTTACAAGTCTTTTCCCGGGTTTGGCATTTCAAAATGCCCGTATCCAAAGCCCTCTCTTGGTCCTCCTAGATACGAGTAGCGATGTGTCCTAGAAAGCTAGGAATCACACTCCCGTCTACAGGTCCCCCAGCCACCTCACCCCTCACCACCCAAGAATCATTAACGGCCCTCGACCGTTTTCTGCTAACCGCAGACACAGTGGACGCAGATGATGTGCCAGATCTACTAACAAATCTACTATCTCTACCCTTACGCACATCTACCCAATGCATCTCATACATATCATCAAGCCTCTGATTGAATGGACTGTAATCATCATATGGTTCACTCTGATCGTCCATCCCAAGCACCACATCTTCATCTGCATCCTCCTCCTCCTCCTCCTCCTCCTCATCACCATCATCATCTTCATCATCCTCAGAATAGTGCACCCGTTCTCTGCGAGCCGAGGCCGAAATACCACGGGATCTAACGTGTCTGGGCCCCGAGCTCTCCATTGAGTAGATTGTACTTCTAATAACGTCCATACTCTTCCCCGCACCAGGTCGAAAATGCGATGCCTAACTCCATTTAAATAATGGAAAATAATAGCAATTGTTATTATTATTATTTATATTAATAATCTATTTTTAAAAGTATCAACAAAAAAATATAGAAATACCTAACCAAAAAAAATATCATATAAACAAAAAAAAATACTAACAAATTGACATTAAAAAGAAAAGTACACAACACCGAAAAAAAAATTAAAAAAAAATTAGAAAATACATACAAAAAAAACAAAATACCAAAATATACAAAATAAATATGAACATAAAAAAGTAAATAAAATAAACAAGACAATGTGCAAATAATTGAAAAAAAAATATAAACATAAAAAAAACAACAAATTTGAAAAAAAAAATATAAACATAAACAAAACAATATAAACATAACCAAAAACAAAAAAATATAAACAAAAACAAAAAAATATAAACAACAAACAAAAAAATCAAAAAGATAAACAAAAACAAAATAATCAAAAAGATAAACAAAAACAAAATAATCAAAAATACGAAGGAAAAAAAAAAAGAAAACAAAACAAAAAAACAATAACTAAAAAAACTGAAACAAAACCAAAAAAAAAAAAAAAGAAAAAAAAAACAAAAAATCAATAACCTAAAATATAAAAAAAAAATAAAAAACTGGAAAAAAAATCCAAAAAGAAATATATATATATATATATATATATATATATATATATATATATATATATATATATATTAGTTTTGTGCGCAGGCGATGCCCAGATTGTTGATAAAATCTTAGAATAAACTTTTTGGCTTGAATGTTAAATGCGGTTATATAAGTGAACTGCTAAACATCGCCCGTAAATCTCTACATAAACCCCACAAATTATAAGTGAAATGACACTTTTGCCCTCAAAGTAAAAAACACAATATAAAAACACACTATCATCTTCACTCTACTCTCTACTCTCATTTTCTACTTTTACCCTCAAAGTAAAAAAAACACACTCTCATCTTCTCTCTACTTTCTACTCTCATTTTCTATCTCTAAATTTTTTTTTTGAAAATGTCGAGGCGGCTAGGCAAGGAAGTGGCGGCACCGGTGGCGGAAGGAAGTCGGTTTCGCGGTGGAAAGGTATTTTCAAACTTTAAAAAAAAAAAAAAAAACTGGTGGTTGGTGGCGGAGGCTGGTGGTGGCGCCTTACTCAGATGCCACCGCCACGGTGGCGGCGCCTGGCCAGGATGCTACTGCCACGGTGGCGGCATCCATGTAAGACGCCACCTCCGTGGCTGTGGCGTCCTGCCCAGGCGCCGCCACTGTGGCAATGACGTTTGGTAAGGCGCCACCTCCCTTTTTTTTCATTTATTTTTTAAATTTCTTTTTTCCGGGATTTTTTTTTCGTTATTTTTTTCCAGTTTTTTTTGTTATTTTTGGTTTTGTTTTTTTTTTTTGTCATTATCTTTTGTATTTTTATTTAATAGGTTATTATTTTTTTTATT